AATCTAGCTACCAAACTTGCTGTAAACATGATGTCCAGCCTTGCAGCAGTCAAATATAACAGACTTCCAACTATCTGCCTATATAAGCTTTCTTCAGCTTGTTCACTTTTATCTGTCGTAGATAGCTTTTCATTTATTGCAAGAGGAGTAGCAACTGATTTGCAATCTTTGAGATCGAATTTATCTAGTAATGTCTTTGCATATTTCTTCTGGTGGAAGAAAATGCAAGTGTCAGTTTGTATCGCACATAAACCCAAGAAATGATGTAACAACCCAAGATCAGTCATTTCATACTGTCTCATCATCTCAGTTTTGAACTCCATCATCAATTCTTGTGAACTCCCATTGTAGATGATATCATCCACATATAGTGAAACAATGAGTATTCCACTTTTAGCAATTTTTACATATAAAGTTGCTTTACTGATACTTCTTTGAAAACCAGCCTTAGTGAAATAAGAGTTGATTTCTTCATACCAAGCTCTTAGAGCTTGCTTAAGACCATATAAAGCCTTCTTGAGTCTGTAAACTCCAGCCTCCTTGTTCTTAACCACAAATCCAGGGGGTTGATCACCATACACTTCTTCATGCAATACTCCATTCAAAAATGTTGATTTCACATCCAATTTGAACAATTTCTACCTTTTCTATACAGCCAATGCAATCAATGTTCTAATTGTATCAAGCCTAGCAACTGGTGCAAAAGTCTCATTGAAATATATTTCAGGCTTTTAAGAGTATCCTTTTGCAACCAATCTAGCTTTGTTTTTCTGCACTGAGCCATCAAGTGTTAACTTGGTTTTGTAAACCCATTTAACACTAATTACTAGTTTATCAGATGGTCTACTAACCAACTCACAAGTATTGTTCTTCTCTATTATTGCAATTTCACTCTCCATTGCTTTCTGTCATGTTTCATCCTTAACAGTTTCTTCAAAGGTTTCAAGTTCAATAATGCACAGATTGCATCTTTCATGCACTTTTACAATGCTTTTATATTTTAGTGGAGTATGATCGAAATCATGTGGACCTGACCTTTCACTTTTTCCAATAGTACCACTTCTAACTTGTGTTTCATCAACGCTTCTTGGTGTCTCACCATCCATTTCTGACATCTCAGCTCGTGTTAAGCTTGATTCACCAATCTCATTTTCTTTCTCAGTAAACATCAGCGAGTGGAACTGAAATGCTACATTCCTTCTGTGTACTCCAATCCCAACTTGCTTCCTCGTTGAATACTACATCTCTGGATATAATCACATTTCCAGATTCAATGTTATACAACTTGTAACCTTTTTCATAGTTTCTATACCCCAGAAACACACACCTTATGCTAGACAAGTCAAGCTTTTGTCTCTGTTGTTCTGGGACATGTGCATAACACAGAGAACCAAACACCCTTAAATGCTTAATTCTTGGCTTTCTTCCACTATAGGCTTCAAATGGAGTTTTCTTGTCCAAAGCCTTAGTTGGACACCTATTTAGGACATATACTGCAGTGTTAACTGCATCAGCCCAAAACTCTAATGGTATCTTCTTCTCAAACATCATACATTTAGCCATCTCCACAATGGTCATGTTCTTCCTTTCAGCCACTTCATTTTGCTGTGGTGAGTATGCCATAGTGAGTTGCCTTTCCATTACCATTTCTTCACAGAACCTGTTGAACTCAATGGATGTATACTCTCCTCCTCTGTCACTTCTCAGTTTCTTCAACTTATACCCACTTTGTAGTTCAACAGTAGCCTTAAACCTCTTAAAGACATTGAACACCTCATATTTGTATCTCAAAAAGTAAACCCAACATATCAGAGTACAATCATCTATAAAAGTGAGGAAGTACCTATTTCCAGCATTTGTAACAGTTTGCATTGGTTCACAAACGTCAGTGTGTACCAATTCCAGTGGAATAGTGACCCTACTTGTTGTCTCTCTTGAAAAAGAATCTTTACAATGTTTCCCAAGAATGCATCCCTCACACACTTCATTGGTGTTTTTGATTTCTAGCAATCCAAGCACCATTTCTTTCTCATGTAGCAGCTTCAAACTATTGACATTCAGATGCCCCATTCTTCTATGCCAGATCAAAGTTGACTTACTCACACTTGCTCTTAATGCAAAATGCAAATCTATTTGAAGTTTCAAAGGAAAACTTATGTTTCCTCTCATTGGCACCTTAGCAACCAGATTAGAGAGAGAGAGAGAGAGAGAGAGAGAGAGCAATCATCATAAATTTCAGCCTTATTATCTCCAAAAATCAAAAAGTATCCATGCTTCATCATTTGCCCTACACTTAGAAGATTCTCCTTAAGACCTAAGACAAGCATTATTTATTTAATATACCTCATTCCCATCTTAGTATCCACCACCAAACTTCCTTTTCCAATAACATCATCCAATTGTCCAGTTCCCAATTTTACCTTTGCAATTATGCTTCTGTCAATATCAACTAGCACATCTTTTCTGCTAGTCATATGGTTACTACAACCACTATCCACATACTATACATCTTCAATAGACTTCTTGTCAACTGCATTATTTACATAAAACATGGTTGGTGTGGAAGGAACCTCAGTTGCAAAATTTGGCTGCTGAACACCTTAAGCACCTTTCTTATTATTGCAGTCCCTTACAATATGACCAATTTTCCCACAACAGTGACACTAAGGTTTTCCTTTAAGAAAACATTCTCCGTAATGGTACTTATCACAGTGCCTGCAAGGGTTTCTACCACCTTTTACAGCTGTAGTTTGCTTCCCAAATTGGTAAGCGGGCTTTTGATCCCACTTTTTAAATTTTGGTTTCCAATTCTTCTGGCATCGATTGCCTTGATTTCCAGAAGAATTGGCAAGTTTGGGATTCATACTTAGACTTGCAAATGCTCTCTCAGTCTTGTTCTCAGTATGTCTCTCAAATCTCTATGCAAAACTTTTTAATGAGGCAACTACCTTTTGAACCTCAATCACATATATATCCCTTGAGTGTTCAATCACCGAGCATATAGGATCATATGCAGAGGGTAAACTAATCAACACTTTCTGCACAATTCTCTCTTTAGACAATTCCTCTCCATAACTTCTCATTTGATTTATCAGATCAAACAATTTTGTAAGATAAACAAATAGGGACTCATCATCTCTCATTCTGGTATATTCAAATTCTCTATGAAGACTTTGTAATTTAACACTTCTAACCTGTTTGTCACCATGAAATTCTTGCAGCAGGATATCTCAAGCTCCCTTAGAGGTTTCTTCATGAGAGATCCAAGGGAAGATCTCATCGGAAATTGCTCTCTGAATCAGCCCCAGCACCTTGGCATCTTTCATGAGCTTCTACGTTAGAGTTGTAGCATCACTCGATTCCTCATTCTCCTTTTTCTTTGCATCAGATTTATCAACTCCCTTCGAATTTGAGCACTCTACTCCTTTTTCAACGAACTCCCATAATCCATGAGACTTGAAAATAGTCTTCATCTTTACGCTACAGAACTCATAATTCTCGCCGGTGAAGATCGGCGTTCTCAGCTCACCACCTCCAGATCCTGCCATGTTAGACACAAATCTCGGAACCAATTTCTTCAAATTTTAAATCGTTCATTCGCAAATTCAATCTCTCAGTGTTAAACGACCAAACCTGGATCTGAGGCCATGTTAGAATCTCAAAGACTATGATCTCTGTGGTAAGGAATGAATTGAAAAAAATGCTCAGAGAGTTGCAGAAAGAAGGTTCTCACAGAAAGTTGCTTTCATTCATTCACACCTCACACAAAACGTGTGAGAGATATATTACCGTTAGAGAGAGAGAGATTCTCTCTCTATGATACAAAACTCAAATCCAACCATTCATGCAATCTACCCTATAAAATAGTTACATGTGTCAACACAAGTCACTAACTCTAAGATTACATCTTAGCTGTCCAATTAGAATGTAATCCAATGGCTCACATTTAAACCTGTAAACTGAAACTAAATACAAGTTTATTCAGCTAAAACACTTATATTTCAACATTTTCAAACAAACGAGTTTTCACGTGTTCGAACCATAAACATTTATGTCTAATGTATATAGTTTCGACTATATGAAATAAAAACATATGTCTGTAGGCACTATTTTTAGTACTGATAAAGCTTTTACCCATCAAAAAGCTAAATCCTATTTTCTCAAGCTACTTTACTCCATCGTTTCTTCTATTATCGCAATGCTATTTTAGATGGTACATAAGCGTTGTTTGATTTGAGTTATGTTGAATTTGTAGCTCATGAAAAAGTTTTCACCCTCTCCATGTAATTTCTAATCTCGGTATAGCCCTTCAAATACAAGTACAGAAGAAAAGGCATCCCCCACCGTCTTCTATTTATTGAACTCGAAGTTTTTGATCATCTATAAAGCTCAACTGCATGCATTTACGCAATTGCAAATCGAATATGAGCTCCATGGAAGTAGGAGCCTCACACCGTATTCATATTGCTTCCATTTCAAAGCCATATCAAGGCAATGGTGAAATTAGCAAACTCCTCCACCATTGAGGCTTTCACATAACCTTTATCAACAAAAAGTTCAATACAACTTCTTTCTTAAATCTCTCGGACGCAACTCTCTTGATGGCTTGTCTGACTTTCATTCTGAAACAATTCCTGATAGCCTTCCAGAGTCAGATGCAGACTCCGCCCAAGACTCCTTTTTGCATTGTGATTCAATATAACAAATTTCTTGGCTCGTTTTGTAACCTTGTAATAAAACTCAATGACATGGCAACTTCCAACATTCTTAATCCTCCAGTGTCTTGCATTGTTTCAGATGGACTCATGACGTTTACTATCACGGCTGCTGAAGAATTTAGACTCCCTATCGTGCTGGTCCTTACTTTACATGCATCTGCATGCAGCTTAATGGGATCTAAACACTATTCTGCTTTGGTAGAAAGATGACTTGCATCACTGAACAGTAAAAATATTGAAGAATTTTTCTAATTTTAATGATTCATTGCTTGTTTATTACATATGACTTATGAATATGATTACTTGGGTGTTGTAGAGGAGAGCTGTTTGACAGATGATAGATTGGATTCCGGGAATGAAAGGTATACACTTAGGGAGCGTTTGTTTGCCCTCACTAAGTTGGACTGGACTGGACTGGACTGGACTAGCTATTAGTCCAATACTGTGTTTGTTCCATGTTGGGACTAACATTAATGAGACTAAAGGGGACTAGCATGGACAAAACCCTTCACTAAGAGGTCTTAGCGAGACCCCCCAATAACCATGGGACTAGCTAAGACTATCCTCTCTTTCTCGTCCTCGTCATGGTCAATGACCACTCTTGACAAACTTCTCGTCATCTCCGGTCACCTAGATCAATCATTAACTTTCCGACTCTCTTTCAGATCCATTTCACAACCAACTTTCATACAAAATATACCAAATTGAAGCTGGGAGTGACAAGATTACGATTTTACCTGAATCGAGGCCAAAATGTGGTCGAACGTGATTGGAAAATGGCCTGGAAGTCTCGGCCTGTTTGGGCTTCTTCAAATCCATGACAGATTCGAGCATTCAAAGCTAAGATCTCGGTCCAGGGATGGTGATGAATTTTTTGGCGATGCTAACTTCATCTGATTTAACGAGGAAAAGGTAGGAAAAAATGAAGAAAAAGATAAGATCATAATAAAATATTAATAATTTATATATTAAATAATATAATATTATAATTTGTTATTATCCAGCTTCTTAGTCCAATACTGCACCAAACGCTTCACTAAGTTAGTCCAGTTTAGTCTAGTCTAAGCCAGTCCAGCTTAGTCCTTGAAGCTAATCCAGTCCGAGATAGTATGGCACAACAAACGCCCCCTTAAGGGCTCTCCCCTACTGGTATAGCGACATTGTTGAAACTTGAAATAGAAAGGAATGAAGTTACCCGAAAAATGTAGAAGTCTTGAGTGATGAATGATTCTTGGTATGAGTCACGGACTAAGTCGCTCTCTTTAAGACGTTTTGCGGCTCTGTCCAAATGTGCAAGCATTTCACAAACATCACGTCTTTCCCAGGATAAAACAGCCCAGAACATTCTTCTTCTCATAAAGTTCTTCATTGCACAATGGAAGAACCTTCGAACTTACATCCTCTCAATATGTTGCTTATCAAAACTATATATCAAAAAAAATATATATATTTTTCCGTATTCTTTCAATGATCTAGGGACTACTATATATACTACAGAAGAAAGAGACGTTGAGGGTTTGAGAGATTAATGAGAGCTTAAAAGCAGGACAAAACGGAAAAAAAACAAAACGTAAAGTAATCGCACAGAAAAAAAGCAAAACGGTTTGAATATATATAAAGTATATCAGATGATTATACTTTTCTATGTATAGGGACTGCTTTACAGGTTATTAACATAAATATTAATCAAAACATAAAGCAAATTCAAAATGGAAAAGCCAAAATGGTTTGAATATGTTTAATGACATGATCTTCTTCTCTATGTAGAAAAGAAATCACATGTTTCATATTTAAGAGGAGATAACTCGTTATCTAATTGATAAGGCCAAAATAAATTAACTGTTATGCATATAATATTGGTAATTAAGCAAAACATAAATATATATTTAAACATTTAAATAAAAACATATTTACTCCAACAGACATCATCCTTAACTTCACCTCTGAAGCGGTGGACAAAGCTCATAAAGCTTCAACAGTTGTTTTTCACACTTTTGATGCATTGGAACGAGATGTTTTGGATGCTCTCTCATCTATGCTTCCTCTTGTTTATGTCATTGGCCCTCTCCAATTACTTCTCAATCAGATACCAGAACAACCTTTGAAGCCTATGGGATACAGTTTATGGAAAGAAGAAACCGAGTGTCCCCAATGGTTAAACGCCAAACTCTGTTATTTATGTGAATTTCGGCGGTCTAGCAGTGATGACACACTAACATGTTATTGAGTTTGGCTGGGTACTTGCAAATAGCAAGCATCCCTTCCTGTGGATAATTAGGCCATTCTGGTCAGTGATTTTGCCACCCGAGTTTGTGGCTGAAACCAAGGAAAGAGGTAAGATAGTAAGTTGGTGCCCGCAAGAGAAAGTCCTTAACCACCCATCAGTTGGACGGTTTTTAACACACAGCAGCTGGAACTCAACCGTTGAGAGTTTGTCTACTGGAGTGTCTCTACTCTGTGGGCCACTCTTCGGTGATCAGCAGACAAACTGTTACTTCACTTGCAACGAAAGAGGCAGTGGCATGGAAATCAATAGTAACGTGAAGAGAGATGAGATGGAGAAGCTTGTTAGAGAATTAATGGATGGGGAAAAGGGCAAGAAAGTGAAAATTAAGGCCAAAGAGTGGAAGAAACTTGCGGAAGAAGCCACCGGTCTACATGGTTCTTCATCCAAAAACTTGGACAATTTGGTGAATCAAGTGCCCTTAAATAACAGCTAGATTGCGTTCTCCATAAAAATTTTGGTCTTAATAACTAGCGATGTACTGCACAACTAGTTTCTGTTTGCCCCTGTTCAATTTCCCGGTGAAAATTACACAGATTTCCTATGTTGGAGTTAATTGTTTAGAAGCTAGTGCAAGTTGATGTTGCAAAGATTTAAAAAAATCCTTGTGGTTTATAATCTGATTAGGTCATAGAAAAGACACATGAATGAGCCAAGAGGATAAACTGTCGACATGTGCCAAAGAGATTAAAATCCTTTGGTAGTAAGACATTTTCAACTGCCGGCTGAAAGAGCAAAGTACAAGTACAAAGTACAAAGTAGACCAAAATATATATGCAGCAGTACTGTCTTCCAGTAGAGATACACACAATCTAATATGAGCAGTTCCACTGCAGTAGTAGGTTATAAGCCTCATGCTGTATGTACTCCACTTCCACTTCAAAGCCATATAAAGGCAATGCTTAAATTAGCAAAGCTCCTCCACCATAGAGGTTTTCACATAACCTTTGTCAACACCGAGTACAACCATAAGCGCTTTCTTAAATCTCTCGGCCCCAACTCCCTCGATGGCTTGCCTGATTTTCAGTACAAAACAATCCCAGATGGTCTTCCAGTAAGTTCAGATACCGATGAGGATGCCCCTCAAGATATCACTTTGCTTCTTTATTGCATCAGAAACGATTTCTTGGCTCCGTTTTGTAACCTTCTCAACAAACTCAATGACAACACAGATGGTTTTGGTAGTCCTCCAGTGACTTGTTTGGTGTCAGATGGGTTTATGACATCCACCATCACAGCTGCTGAAGAGCTTGGAATCCCTATCGCGCTCTTCTTTACTTTAGCTGCAGTTGGCTTCATGGGATCTAAACAATATTCTGTTTTGGTGGAAAAGGGACTAGCGCCCCTCAAAGGTGAAAAAAACGTTGAATCAATTATTGCTCAATCTATGATTAAATACTGCTTGCCAATTTTTTAAATACTGGAGCAAATGTGCTCCCTCATATGCACCAATGTTTGAATCCCTCTCCACGCAGTTTAATTAGATTAGTTTAAAGTATATCATTGTATAAATATAGTGATGAAATTTGTCTTACGTTGTTGTGTTGTAGATGAGAGCTGCTTGAAAAATGGATATTTGGACATGGTAATAGATTGGGTTCCAGGAATGAAGGATATCCGTTTAAGGGATCTCCCGGGCTGCTTTCGAACTACAGATCCAAATGACATTGTGTTTAACTTTGCCATGGAAGCAGTGGATAGAGTTGATAAAGCTTCCGCAGTTGTTGTTCATACTTTTGATGCGTTGGAGCCAGATGTTTTGGATGCTCTCTCATCTATGCCTCCACCTGTTTACGCCATTGGCCCTCTCCAGTTGCTTCTCTATCGATTACCGGAAGATCCTTTGAAACATATGGGATACAGTCTATGGAAAGAAGAAACTGGGTGCCTGGAATGGCTAAACGATAAGGCCCCGAACTCGGTTCTTTATTTGAATTTTGGCAGTATAGCAGTCATGACACCACAACAGCTTGTTGAGTTTGGTTGGGGACTTGCAAATAGTAAGCTTCCATTCTTGTGGGTAATTAGGCCTGATCTGGTTGTTGGCGAATCAGCAATTTTGCCGCCTGAGTTTGAGTTCGAAACCAAAGAAAGAGGCGTAATATTGAGTTGGTGCCCGCAAGAGCAAGTCCTTAACCACCCATCCGTCGGAGGGTTTTTGACACACAGCGGTTGGAATTCAACGATTGAGAGCTTGTCTTCAGGAGTACCTATGCTGTGTTGGCCAGTCCTTGCCGAGCAATACACAAACTGTTACTACACTTGCAATGAGTGGGGCAGTGGATTGGAGATTGATAGTGATGTGAAGAGAGATGAAGTGGAGAAGCTTATTAGAGAGTTGATGGAGGGAGAGAAGGGCAAGAAAATGAAAATTATGGCCATGGAGTGGAAGAAACTTGCGGAAGAATCTACAGGTCCGCATGGTTCTTCATCCAAAAACTTAGAGAACTTGGTGAATCAAGTTCTATTGAGAAAAAGCTAGAATTATCCATTAGACTGTTATTAAACTTGTTTCTAATGCTATTGTTGTGGGTAGCAGTATTTACTGTGCAGAGGTTATTGTCTCAATAAATAAGAAAAATGTCACCGTCTTGAACTTCAATTTACTAACTTTAATCTTTGGACGCTTATGTACCTTCCATCCGGTGATTGCTACTATTTTGTATTTCTTTGTGGTAACTTTAAGAGAAGAAGAAGAAGATGGCAGCCAATTTACAATAGTGATACATAGAAAAGACCAAACTATGATACGCGAGTTGGTTAGGACAACGTTTGCACCCAAATTTCGAATATCTTCCCATGAGATTCTAATAGTACCATATAGTTGAAGAAAGAGAGTCTATCATAATTCTGATCATGTCTTTAACATTTTTTTGGTTTTAATTAGGATGAATGATAGGATTTTTAGTACATGCGCAAATAGGGTTAAAATCACATACAATACTTGCAAGAGTACAAAGAAATTGTAATATAATCGCTCATGCAAGGTCGTTATCTATCAGTATTGTTTGACTAATTTGTAATCAAACTAATTCTTAAATAATTATTTAAAACAGATTTTATCAAAGATTTGAGATTTTTGAATTTTAAGACTAAATTAACAATAAAAAGAAATTTGGAAATAATGGCAGCTAGGAAGGAAAACATTTTTTAAATTAATCAATTATGGGAAAGACTAGGGTTTCGCCTTCACCATTAACAATCTTATGCAATTTTGCCAATTATTTATGAATTTTCACATACATGATTTGAATGTTAGCTTTTCCTAATGCGTATTTTCCTTTTGATGTTCAAGCGAAAACGTATATTTAACATGCAACCTGTTTGTGATTTCAGATCAAATATAAACATGCAAGACTCATTAAGTTTAGTGAAAACCCTTTGAAAAACCATGCAACCCTTAAGAGCGTGGTGTTCGCCTTAAGTGAACTTACAATTACCAATTACAAAAAGCCTTCCTCAATTTCAGGGTGATGTTCCAATCGAAATTGCATCAAATTACTCATCTAAATATCCTAATGGTGAACAATCATTAAAATATATAGATAGTTTAGTGACGGTGATTAATAATTCAAAGCAAATATGCATCCATTCATAAGAAAATTAATAAAATCACATATTCATGCTAAGGCTTATGGCCTCACCCTAACAAAAGAAATTAGTTATGCGTACTCATAATAAAAACCAAAGAAAATATCATTAACTAGAAAAATGTTGAAAACACCTTATAGGTAAAAAGTCTGAAATTCTCCAAAGCTTTGCTAAGTTAAAGAACCTTAATGGTCAAAAAGCCTTATTTATACTATCCCTATTAGAAAAGGTTTTTTAAAAATTAGGAAATAAAATAATAAAATGATAACTTGAAAACACACTTCAAGTCTGACTAAGAAATTTGCCTAGCAGAGAAATAGCCACGTTTCTGGACCTCCAAGGCCTCAAAATAGGCCCAAAACGAATCAAGTTAAAGATTATAACCTCCACTTCAAGTTCCAAGAAAAGCTTAAGTCCAAAATCCATCATCTTCCAGCCCAAAAGTCACAAACAAGCTTTGTAGCTCAATCTGCCAACACTGCGCACTGGGCATAATTAATTTGCCACAATCAGATGCTTCAGGATAAAATTATGAAATTTTGATACACCCTCTTGACAGACTCACGAACCCGCTTCAATTGGAATCACTAAAAAATTCCACCGTTTGATTACTTTACGCTTAGAACAAATTTGCAAGTCGTAAATTGAAAACACATAACAAAACACCAAAATATACCAAGAATAGGAAAAAATACATAGTATAAAATTGAAGTAGTTCGCTTCCACTTCTTTTCTGTTGAGGGTAAATCTCACATTGACGAGAGGAGGGATCTTACATGTGCTTATAAGTATTTGGGTTACTCCCCATATTACTAATTGGTTTTATGATGGATCTTCAACTTTCTTCACTTCCAAGCCATGTAATGGCAATGCTAAAACTTGCAAACCTCCTTCACCACAATGACTTCCACATAATGTTTGTCAAATAGTAATCCTCCAATGACTTGTATATATGGTTTCAGACGGTTTTATGACATCCACTCTCAAAAGCTTTGAATAGTACCATATAGTTGAAAATGCTCCTAAATCACTTTATGGCTCCAGTGTTGTTAATCCAAACTGAAGATGTCACTGATTGTCAACACTGTTTATGTGTTAAAAGGAGCCTATTAAGTTGCATAATCTTCTCTATTTAAAGATGAAACCTCGACTACGCAGCTTTTCCTAATAATACCAATCGTTTCCACGTTGACTAATTTCAAATGAAAAATCATGTGGTCCTTGAATGACGCTCCCTATTCCAACCAAAAAACTCCCTTTCTCGAGTTGTATGTGTACATGCATCCACACAATCATAAAGAATTGCAATTCTTCCTTTGAACCTGTATGCTCCCTAAATTCGCCATGGGCCTTGCGAGCATGCCGGAAATTTACTCAAACATGAAATTGGTGGGTGCGGGCGTGCCACTACTAGATGCCATTAGTATACGGGTTTTGAATGATTGAGGTTGCGCCCTGAGTTTGACTTCAAACCAAGAGATTGTGCCATTGAATGGGAGTGACTCAAATCAAGGTTCTTTGTTTGCCTTAAAGATAAGGACTTTACTTATATGGAGTGATGGAACAATATGTAAATGACAAGGTTGCTAGAAGTGTAAATGACTGAGGAAAGTAAATGACTGGTATTGTAGATTGCTTGTAATCTAAATGACTGAAAATGAGTTGTACATGAACTACAAATGAGATCAATTGAAACAACCTGTCTCTAGATTTACGGAACAAAAAGGGTATTTTTATATTTTCACTAAATTTAGGGATTTTTTCCTTTTAAAAATGGGTTTTAGGTCTTAAATAGTGTGTCCAAGGGGGCCCACCCCCTGATTTGTGTCCCTCGGTCTCTTTCTC